TAAATTGTCTTTGGCTTCTTTTGGTAAAGTCTCTTGTATTGCTAATGTATCATTCTCCATGTTGTGGCATAAGCAGTTGGGTCACATTTCAAAGGATAGGATGGAGAGATTGGTTAAAGTTGAGATACTTTCCTCTTTCGACTTTTCTGATTTTGACACTTGTGTGGATTGTATAAGAGGAAAGTTGATTAAATCCACTAGGAAATGTTTCACTAGGAATGATGGTATTTTGGATTTGATACATACTGATATTAGTTGACCTTTACCTTCTACCATATGTGGGAACAAATATTTTATAACTTTCATTGATGATTTTTCGCGATATGGATATGTTTACTTGATTAATGATAAATCCAATGCACTTGAGAAATTCAAGATTTNGATATGGAGATGTTTATTTGATAAATGATAAATCGCATGCACTTGAGAAATTGAAGATTGTCAAAATGGAGGTAGAGAAACAATGTGGGAAAAGTTTCAAAGTTGTAAGATCTGATCAGGGTGGTGAGTATTATGGGAAGTATGACAAGTCTGGTAAAAACATGGGTGATTTTGCAAAGTTTTTACATGGGTGTAGCATAGCACTTCAATATACAATGCCAGGAACACCTGAATAGAATGACGTTTCAAAAAGACGTAATCGGACTCTAAAAGACGTGGTCATGAGCATGATGAGTAGAACAAATTTACCAGAATATCTATGGGGTAAATCTTTGAAAACTGCTATGCACATTTTGAAAGAGTTCCGAGTAAAGTTGTTGTAAAGACACCTTTCGAGTTGTGGACATGACGTAAGCCAAGTTTGGCTCATTTCAGAGTTTGGGATGTCCAATTGAGGTGAGAATTTATAATCCTTTTGAAAATAAATTAGACCCAAAATCCACTCCTGGTTACTTTATAAGGTACCCAGACAAAACAAAAGGATATAAGTTCTATTGTCCCAACCGTGGCACCAGAATTGTTGAGTCAATTACTTCTAATTTTTTTGGAAAATGACTGGTGATAGTGGTAGTTCTAAGTTGAAGGAATTTTTTGTTGAACCGAGTCCAGTTGTTGTTCCAATTCTTATTATAAAGGAGAGAGTTATAACTCAACCAGCTGAAATTGTCAATGAAGAACCTGTGCACCAAGAGGGACTATAGGTTCCTCCACCAACAACAATTGAATCGGTTCCTGAGCCATAGGTTAGGAGATCTCAAAGGGAAAGAAGGTCTGCATTGCCCAGTGATTACATTACATATTTGTTGGAGAGTGATTTTAATATTGGGCATATTGTTAACCATTTTACTTTTAATCAAGTATTGACAAGTCCTGAGTCATGTAAATGGACAAATGTTATGGAAGATTAAATGAATTCTATGGAACA